TCCGTCACTACCGCAACAGCACAGCCACTAATCCTACAAAGTTTGACAACAAAAGATTTACCTAAGCAACTTTACCTTATTGGCTCTCAGTTTTACCTAAGCATCAGCTTCATGAATGGGGAAATTCCCCACTGATGACGGATTTTTATAGGACAATTCGCATTCAACTGTTTTTCTAATAACATCTGTAAACAGCATCAATTTTTAACTATTTTAAACTATAAACAAAAAAAAATCGTGTCGAAAAGACATATACGCCACAATATTTGTACAGTACATCTGTATGACATCTCAAGCACAATGTCAACAAATCAATTCTGCATCCTCTTTTTTTTGCACGATTTTCTCATCAGCACATGGACATATCTGCAACAGTTCTTCAGCCAAATATCCAACAAAACTTTCTTTCTTAATTACACTCCTCCTTCCACTCATCGTTAGATATTTTCTGTCAATCGTCGATAAATGAAATTCCCTCTGCACCAACAGGTAAGATCACATTATTTCCATTAAAAAACCCCAGTGTGTGCCATATTCCCCTTCTTAACACTGCTTCTTACCTCTTATATTCTTCGAACGTCGGCAAGCTTCTTTTTGTACCCGTCTCTCCTCCTCTTCTTCGATCATTTTTTGCACCTTTTCCACTTCCTCTTTCACCTGTGAAATAGCAAAAATAATGAGTGAATAAGTCGGTGGAAAGCAAAATAATAGAACGGTTATCTAACACACATCTTCCCCCTCCCGCTGCCCCGCCTCTTGACCCTCCCCCCCCTTCCCTCACACTCCCCCGCTCTCGCCTTATCCTCTCGGCCCTGCCCCGCACTTCGTTATTTTCCATGACCAGTTACTGGAACGGGTAAATGAAGCTGCTTAGGTCATACTGCATTTTTTTCTTCGCTACTTGGTAGCAACCCAATTACCATATGAAACCGACCCAATAACTCGGATCCATGAAATTATGATCGCAGAAGGCACAAGAATTCCACCGATGGAAGAGTTGCAAGCTACGCGGCTGAACGTCCAAATTATGAAAAAACATCTGTTTTCACATAGTATTCAGAAATATCCGTCCAAAACGATAATTGTCACCTTGGCTTCCCTTTGTTTTGCATTCTCTTCAGTACGATCCACGTACTGCGCAACCTGGTTCAGTCCCTCTTTGGTTTTCTTGCACTGCTCAATCCATTCGTCCAATCGCCGACTCAGTTCCTCCAGCTCTTCATCCGAAACATCTCGATTTTTCCATGAGAAAACTTCTATTACACCTTTTTGCGCATTCAAACGTCCCTGGAAGAGCAAATTTATCTCAGAAAACAATTTGCAAACATATGCAGTTGCTTCATGGCAATTTTTTATCAGCTAATTATTCGATTATCAACGCAAACCCTACGAAAACATCATTTACGCTTATTTTCACGTAAAATTATATATGTTCTGATGGAGATGTGCAGAGGCGATGGAAAAGACGACTATTTTCATGAGATCCCAGACAGTGCAGCTGAGCAACAGAAAGCAGAAAACAGCAGTGATTTAAAGCTGATAATCCCTTTGCATTTCATATCCCTCTGAGCTAATAAGGGGAATAAACACAGGGACTGATCGAAGCATAAAAAGGCTACCGACAAAAACTAATGGTTATCATACATCACAAGCGGCACGATGAACGTTCGGAAACAGTAAAAGAGTAATAGAAAGTTGTAATAAGAAGGAATGAAGTGAAGAGAAAAAAGGAATTAAGGAATGAAAATTAGAAAATCTGTGAGATTACTGCAATGGTAAGAAATGTTTCAGTCCATTAGGTCGTATACATTTCTTACCATTACCACAACTGGGCCTCGTTTGAAAAATAATCTCCCCCGATATATAAAGTATCCGAGGTACCACAACTATATATAATAATTCAAATAAGAAGAGGATTACTGAACGGTCTAAGAAGAGGGTTACTGAACGTCAGTGGCTTCGGTGGACACTCATGAAGGTACAGGTCTCACAGCAATCTTAAGTAGTATAAACTTTGTCATAACAAACCTGAATAATGCCATCATAAAGCGCACTGATAAAAAGACGCTGGAATTCCTGTAAATCAGTGATGTGCAGTTCACGCATGGCCGCTTCTACGGGGATAATTTTGCTGGCCTTTGCCATTGTGACCAGTGTTAACTGCCGTAATTTCTGTTCCATTGCAGCGGATAATTCTGGTAATTCGTTTTTGCCCACAATCGCATCGTTATAAGTCCCTGAAAATCAACTATCGAATTGGTGCGGGACACTCCCCCACATATGCACGCACAAACACATACACACACACGCACCCACCCACGCACATACATTTGATATGACGCGGTACGATACAAATTTATTTGTCAAACAGAACGTATATTCTTACCACACTTATCATTCTTACGGATTTTTCCTATAAAAAAAAATTCCCCAAAAAATTTGCATATACCTTTTTCATAAGTCCCACTTATCTTTTCACATTTTTTTTTTTTTTTAATTCTAAATATGGCTTGATCAAAAAAAGATAGAAGATTTATGTGCTAATTTTGTAACGCTTTTAAAGGAGAAACCAAAAGGTGAGTGTAAGAATAAATCCTCTATTGCACCCCTCCTGAAAAGATAATAATTTTCCAAAAATCACCAAGTTTGTAAAGATAAAAAGATGCAGTTTGCAAAAATTTACAAGTTTATCTATCAAAATTCCCGAAAACAAACTGTCAAATAATAGCTATACCAAAATCCGGAGAAATCCGAGAAAATTACACCAAAATCAATCCAGAAAAATCATAGGTCCTCATTTCTCAGCGAATAAACTTTCCACAAAGAGTGCTACTAGACAACCTAGATTTGACTAATTGATGAAATACTACCTGATTATTTATATTTCTTTGATTTCGTGACTCATTAGATAAAGACCAGCCTCATTTCTCAGTGAATAAACTATAAAGAGTGCTGCTAGACAACCTAGATTTGATTAGTTGATAAAACTAGCCAATTTTCTTTCTTAAAATTTT